CTTACAACATCCTTCCCTTGTTTGTTTGTGCTACGTATTCTGGAAATAGTCCCTATCGGAAATCGTTGACATCGCTTTGGGTTTAATGTTTAGCGCTAACGTTTCCATAAAATATGTGAGGACCAGCTGAGACAATCAAGGGCCCGGTCCTGTGCTCAGGACCCCTAAGACACACCCGGTGCCAGTAACGAGCGGCTCCCATAGGAACCCCCGCGTGTGGCGCCCTCCGGTCGTGACCAGGATGATTAAGAGTTCCTTCCTTTCCCGGTCGTGGGGGCATTGTCCCAGAGAACAGACAGGCTGCCCACACCTCATCCCAGTGAGGAAGTGAGTCTAAGGAGCTGGATCCAGCGCTGATGGCACTCTCCAATCTAAACAAACCTCAGCAGGAATAATTAAGTAGCATTTGATTCAATGAATCAATGCAGTCAAGAATAGTCTGAAGTCTCCTGACACACCTTGAGCAAGGAAGCCCAGAGAGTTAGCTGGATAAACAGGAAATCAAGACAAAAACATAGTTACTCCTGCAAAACTCCGTACTTAACCCCACTTTTATCACGTTTCTGTTTTGAAACCTGAATGGCTTCACAAATTTAGGAACATAAAACTATTCATATGAAACAAATTGCTATTTGCTTGTGGAAATGTAGCAAAAGGCAGGGAGCTTCCTTTTTGTATGCAGACTCAAATCTGCCATGATTTCTGACTGTCTACTGTTATTCACATTCAAAATGACCTGTAGTGAAACGACATTTCAGTGATGCGCCATGTTCCTTTAAAACATGCAAGCTTCATATCTAAGGTCATCATGCCCATTTCTTATTAGAATGGCCACTTGACAACGGTGTAAGGTTTAGGTCAATCATTTATCATAATCTCTCTATGCTTCTCTTATTGGCCTTTGTTAAACCTTGTCTTATTTCTTAAAGACTTTTCAGCAGCAAAGCAAACAATTAGAACTCCCACTGAGTTAAACTATTCCCTAAATATTGCAGATTTTATCCAGCAGAATCTGCCAAATATAAAAAATCTTGCTTATTTTTTCCTTCTTGAAATCTAATTTAACATTGAAAGAAGTGTGTCGTGGAGTATTACCCAGCAGACATTTTAAAGTCTAGACAGACATTACCGGACGCCTGAGCATATGTGTGCAATTTCTAAATGTGGTGCCCTCTAGTTGTGGTTGTTTTTATTTAAAAAAGATCAAAACGGCATCGACTCTATAAATATAAAGATCTTTATTAACTTATTTTATTCATATGCTCGAGAAAAAAGAAGAAATGCATTGAAATCCACATCTCATTTGGCAGTCAGGGTGGAATTATTGTACGTTGTTGTGACAGCAGAGGATGGTATGCCTTAAATAAAGATCATCTTTTAAATGAAACAGGGACATTGATGTTAAGATATAATATGAAACTGCATATGTTAATTACCTAACTATATAGATAAGAGCAGAATATAAACAAAAAATAAAATCTGCAACCTTTGCAACACATAACAAAATTAGTTCAAATAAAAAATATACTTGATATAAAGTATCAGTGCATAATCATTTCCACATCCCATTCTCCACAAAAAAAAAAAAAAAAGACAAGACATGGGTTCACTTTACATTGCAGTAACACAATGAAAAACACTGTTTCTTCTTCAGTGGTTAACAGACAAAAGCTAGCTGCATTTCCAGAGGGAGTGTGCGTGCTAATACAGGGATGAATATGGGTTTTACTCCAAAGCACTTCCAGTGCATACAGCGTGAAAAATAAAATGCTCGAAAGGCTATTAAAACAGGGAGGAACGATGTGTTAACGGAGCAGAGGCAGAGGGGTCTGGTGTTAATTCAGACAGAGTCTGCGGCAACACAAGCTTTACAAGCATGAGACAAAGGGAGCAGAAGGGTCACCTGTTTCTGTGGAGGCAGACTTCCACAGCTGAACTATCAGCAGCATAAAAAGCATACACGTCTGGGATGAAACAATGGGAGTTTACATAGTGATATTGGGAACAATTAGCAGGAACGCTCCTGCGTTTAACTTCTAAACGGGTAAATGTGCAGAACTGGACAACTATGAGACAGTGTTTTCCTTCTATATAAATACACAATTCATTTTCTAGTGCTTGTTTTTAATACTTTTCCTCTACAGTTCTGCTGTGATTGCATGTTTCTAACTACATGTGTACACAAATTTTTTTTACAAATGTATTTTAGTTTTCCTTTATGCTTGACCAAAAACAAAGCAAAACAAGAAACATTTCCTCAACGCCCGACTCGCACCGGAGGATTCTGCTTGTGCAGCCACACATTTACTTGCCTTCACAGCTGAGCTGTATTGTTTCATCTGAACCCTGTATCCTCCATTAACCTGGGAATTTTCAAAAACCAAGACCGAACTGAAAAACATCCATTCAGCCCAGAACGCTCCTTTGCGCTGGCACTCTGGGTCAACCTGAGTTTAATAAGCAGAATTTCTTTAGATAAAATCCCATGAGAAATGATCTCTCACATCTGGTTTGTGTTTAAAGCAAAGCTGAACCTTTATACGGGCACATGTAAGCCCAAAACTTTTCAATTGACTTCTTTTTTCTAAATATTTCCATTCAATTAACTGTATGGTTTTCTCTCCTAATAGCCTTAAAAATAAACTTTGTTTTATCTCCCTTGCGTTACTTTTTTTTGTGTTCTTCATCATCAACATAGTTTTTCAGATCGCTGGCGAAGTTGGAATCAATGCAAATTGTTTCACAGTAGATTAAAAAATACCTGAGCCTGTTTTCCGCTGTTTGACATATCACAGTGAGGGTGGAGCGGACCAGCAGCATCAACAGAAGCCCACATGTGAACAGTTTTACACCTTTCCTTTGCTGCATAGAGGTCTCTCTGGAAGTTTGAAGACGGAGTGGTATTGATTCGTGTCTAAACATCTTAAGAGGATATCTCGATTTTTTCTTCTCACAGTACATTTGCATCCGAGTGTCAAAGCAGAGGAGAACATCAGTCTCAGATTTTCCAGAGGAGAGGACGAGAGGTTACACCGGCGGGGTGGAGTAGCGCATCACGTAGTTGTAGTCAGGGGGAGGGCTGTGACACTCCAGGCTTTCGTCCAGGGCCGAGTCATCCAGACCGAAGTCTAAAGGGGGAACAGTGGACGGAAACTTCTCCTTCTCCAAGTCAGTGAGCACAGACTCTTTACTTCTGCTCGAGGCTTTCATCCTGAAGGCACAGAGATGGACAACCTGAGTGTGGCTGATAAGCACCGACATCCAAAGATTTTACACATGAAACAACAACAACTATAGAAACTTCAGAATGAAAATCCACTCTGAAAGATGATGAGATTTATCAAAAGGCTCACAAACCATATGAGTTACATTAAAGGTAATAGCATTTTGCTTATCAGCTGGCCCATGCGTAGATAATTATTCTGCTTCTGGTCTGTACCCAAGTTCACGCTTTTCACAGTATGATATCCTTGGATAATTAATTTTCCTTTGGCTGGATGTGTAAGAGCACATAATATGATGATGTCATATCAAACCTTGGGAAGTGCTGCTCTACATTTTTCACGATTTGATATTCATAAATATTTATCCACTGCATTTATCCATACACATTCCAATAATAACATAACAAATATGCAATGTCTGGTAGTATAGGCGGCTGTTGTTGATCAATAAATAACGCAAGGGCCAGATTTTTTAATCCTATTTCAGGCCGATCCTAAAATATATTTTAAACCCAAATGGTCTCACAGGATTTATGAACTGATTCAGATAGCTTTACTTTTTCTGACAAAGTTTGACAGTTTCTACAGTTTTACACTGCAGAAAATAAGTGCAAAACAGGGTACTTGAGTGGCAACTGGTAAACAAGTGCTGCACTTCCACATACTGCGCCTATCTTGACAGGCTGTTTGTGTTTCAGCTCAATTTGATCACTCTCACAATAGATGGCTGTTTTGATAGTCACTCCTTTGAGGAATGCCCCTTGTGAGGCTGTACAATCAGATAAACTGTCCCTCATTCTTGTATGATGTAATCAATCATCCTGAGCTTTTCTGCTTCATTTGAGTCCCAGAATATGAGTAACCGAGTCTCATTGTCTTGGCTGTTGCCATGGGTTTTCAGAGCTCCTCTCTCCAGACTAAAGGGTCAGTTCCCAGCGGGGAGAAGTGATGCCGCTTTACTGGAATGTTGTCCCGATTAATAAACTACCTGTTACACTGGGAATCAAAACAGGATTGTGCAGTATTTCCAGTGCCCGGTGAAGGGTGGAGGTACACACGAGGAAACCAAACAAAGTGAGTTAGGGGGGGAAAGAGCTTGAGCCTTAACTGAGACAACTAGTGGATTAACTGGATGAAACTAAACTACACTAAAGGGAGATTTTTTCAGAATCTCATGGCCAGTCAGACTCTGGCCCAGAGACGTGAGAACATAGGAGTTCTGAGGCCTCTGGGAGAATCAAGTGGACTTCTGCTCAGAGGAACTACAGCATTGGAGGCCCTTGTAAACCCTCCTGAGTTCAAAGGTTGCAGTGATTGAGTGTCAACCCAGCACGAATGTCCACCCCTTGAAGTATAGATCATTCTCTGGATGCCTGGGCTGATTCTCTCTGCAAGGCTGAGGCCCTGATGGGACTAGCAGGCCTGTAATGAGGCCTGGACGTTGAGCTGTGAGATCTAAAGGACACTGCGAGCGTGTGGGTGTGAGCTTGGCGAGCTGTAAATTAATTGCAGTGCTTCGGAGGGGTTCGTGAGCTCTGCAAAGCGTGCCTCATGATTTATCCCCCCCCAGCAGTTGTTTACGTGCCGGATCTTTGTAATTTATTACCCTTTTATGTTGTTTTTAGAGAGTTTCCTCTTCAACTTTACTGAGATTTTTGGGTTACTTCACTGCTGTTCTTCATTTAATTCCTTTGAGTTTAAGTTAAAATATTTTGCTGGGGTATCCATAGTTGCATCTCTGCTGGGAGACGTTTAATAATGAAAAAAGCTTTAAAGTGTAATTATTGAGTTCAGCGGTTTGACCCTGTAAATTAACCCTATCACTGAGCCACCATAAACTTCCCATGTTAGACTTCAGACACCAACAGAGAACCTCATAAGAGAGAGATTTACAGAAACGTCCCTCATATTTGACTTTTTCTTCTAGTAACTGCTAAAGTGAAAACATATTGTTTTGACATTTTTCATATCACATCTTAAAGTCATCAGGAAGAAAATGGTATTTTGGAGTACAAACTGTCAGTTGATGTCATTCATTTAAGCTTTTTTTCTTTAGCTTGTGATGACATCTGAGACTTAGATCAGTCCGGGAGGTTTCTCCTCTTGGATGCTCATGGTGAAAACAAAGAGATTTTAGTGTGCTCTCTTTAAAAAGGCCAAACCTCACCCAGCTTTTGTTTTTAGTCCTTCAGTTTCTCACCCCTCAAGCTTTTTTCCCTCCCACTTCCCCTTTGTGCCTCACACATGCTACGGTCACACAAAGGAGAAAACTAGCTGCTGACTTCTTTTTAAGGTAGAAGAAGCTTTGTGTGTGTGTTTGTTTGATGGTTACAGCGTCTACATTCTTGCACAGCAGGAAGGTTTCCAAGCAGGTACTTTTGAGTCCCTTTCAGAGTGTTTGTGTCGAGGCTTAAGTTGCAGTGCGGTGTACGTACGCCAGAGCCATGATGCTCAGAGGTCGGCCGGCCAGTGATTCAAAGCACATCAGTGTCTTCATGTTGTCAGAGGAAAAGCCCACCCCGCTGTCTGTCTGACTCTGAGGTGGATAAGGAGGCAATCAGACAGTCAGTGATCAGATCCATGCGGCCAAATTTCCACATTCATTCACAACTGTCAGTGAGTATAAAAATATCCACAAAAAAACACAAAAAAGCTAAATCTGAAAGAATGGATTAAAATGATCGTTTTTTTGGTTAGTGTGCAGTGTGCAAATTGAGGTGCAGAGCATGGGGATATCATTTAAATGATGGTGCATATTGGTTCAATTTCAAGGTTAATAGCTCACCTTGTGGTTCTCATTTCTCACGTTCTCCATGTTGACCTCGTCAAAGGTTTTTACACTAGCAGGACGAATCTTAATGTTCCTGGGGGGGAAAAAAAGAAGGCCAAAATAAAAATCAAGTACTGAAAGTTCTCTGCAGCCGTCGATAAAATCTTTGGATTATACTGAAGTCCAGCAACTAAACCGCAGGAACTTAATCACTTAAAGCAACAATGTGCAGCATTTATGACATTGTACTTTGAAAACACGCATTGTTTGCTTTGCATTTCAACACTTAAGAGGCTGAAACGGCAGCTCAGTTTAACTTAAGGAGTAACTGTCGCTGCTGCTTTTCAGCACCCACTCAATAAACAGGCTTGGAGGACCTACAAAAACCCGAGAGCTCAGCAAATATTATTCTAAGTGGACTTAAATCTCGAGGCCAGCTCTGCAGTTTTGGAGGGAAATTCCTCTCAGGAGTCACAGCATTGAAAGCTCAGGACCGCAGCGTGTACATTTCTTATCGATGCCAATCAGTTCTCTCATTGTCCTCAGCTCAGACTTACATGTTATCCTGTTGAGTTCAATAAGAACAGGGATCACCAGAAGGACAATAATTGTTTTGGATATTTTTCAGTGCAAAATGGGCTTTTCTGTTTGTCTGTGACAGTCTGCGGATTGGTTTACATGTTTGCAAGACAAGGTGATTTATTTCCCTTGAATGTTTTAACAGGTTCACTGAGAAGTGGAACAGATTTGAGCCAAGAAAACCAAGAATCTAAAGCCAGACTACCGACTCTGTGCAACAGCATGAAGGCCGGGCAACTGCTGCAGGAAGTTGGAAACATAATAAAAGTCCATTTTGATCTGATGTTGGACTGAATTTAAAGGTAAACAAGCTACAGTAGTTACAATCTGTCCTGAGGGAGGCACAAATGTCTGAGGCAAAACTTATGGAGAAGTCTACCTACCAAGTCGTTGAGTAGTATACTTCAAATACTATGAGGAATAAGATTATGATTTGATCAAATTAGAACCAAATTTGTACCTTGCAATGAGGTATTTCCACTCAGAAACAATGCAAGACTTTCATCCTATGTGAGAGACTGGTCTAGCTGGATGACTGGATCAAACCTCAGAGACGTCTGTTTTGGTCAAAGTAGCTGAAGGACAATGAAGGACTCACCAGTTGCCTCCTGATTCGCGGTGGGAGATGGGCTGTGTTGGTGTCTCCTCTGTGGGAGCTGCAGCCGTCTGCTCCCCCACCTTTGCCAGCAGAGCTGTGTTGATGGGTATGTAGTGTTTTCCCTCCTAAACCAACAGAAGAAGCAGATTTATGGTCGATGCTATGTGCCATATGCAAACGTACACATCCACAGGTGGTGGCGAGCAGCCAAAGAAAGTAAGGTCAAGCCAAATAAACCCACAGGCACAATCATGAAGTCGGAGCGGACAGTGGCACAGTTCATGACCAGCTTTCCTGCGCTGGAAACACTTTTTCACTAGAGTGCTTTAACAGACCCAGTGAGTTGTAAGGCAACTTGCACTGATGTTGTCTTGACTTTTTCTCCTATTGCTTCACTTGTCAGTCTGCAGTAAAGGAAAACATCTTGTTTGCAGGAGTGGAGAAATGAAATTCCACATGCCTGTATGCACAGTGATGTGAAGTGTGGACAAACATGTGCTCTCAGGTGAGGGGAAAATACCTCTGAGATCAGCCGAGTAAATAGAGATTCAGACAAGGTAAACAATAGAAGCTCACTTCTACCTCTGCACTTTGGCAAATCCTGTGCTCTCATGTTAATATTTTATTACAGATTATTATATATGACTTTAATAACTCTATTGTTCTCCAAGCATTTCAAAGTGAGGTTCCCTTTACGAGAGTGATGGTGCCACTTCAAAGGCAGCCAAGTGTTTGTGTTGAGTTTTGCTTCCTTCTCAGTTACATTGAGCACCCTCCTGTACTAATGCAATCATCATAGCAGCTTCCTGAATAGACGCAGGTGTTTGTGACTCATTCTGCACAGCTAGCAGCTAATACTGTCATTGTTCTCCAAAGAAAAACATGCTCAGGATTCTTCAATTATCTGGAGGGTTAAAGTATGCAACGTTCTTTCAGTGTTTCTCTGTATTGAGAATAGATTTTCGTATATATCTTTATTGGGGAGCAAAGGCTCAACTTTGCTTCCTAAACTTTCCACACAGTGCAGATCAAACTTGGCTAAACAGTCATGTGAAACAGAGGGATACAAACTCTTTTAATTTTATGGTTTTATGTTTTTGGAGGGGATTAAGAAAAATATTCGGTCAATACTTACTTTAGAACTACAGAAAATCTGTGTCAGGTTGATAGCACATGACTTATTAGAGCATGCCATAATTGATTTAACAAAAACAAAGACAAACTGCAGACGCAGTGTGTGGAAATTAAAGGACACTAATTATTCTTTGTTTTTTTATCCACACATTTGTTGTACAATTTTTACCCCCTCTAAAATGATTACAGTTAATTAGGGTTTCTAGGATTGGATCTTGATCATCGATGAAACAGCTCCATTAAAGTTTTCTCTGTCAGACAGATGATCTCACATTTGACATTGGGATACTTTGGCAAACGGAGAAATGCAGAACTAGCCCACATCATCAGCCCTCCGTCACCACGCCGATGTGCAGACTTTGGTTGTCTCTCTACAGTACACATGGCGCGGCGCATAATAACAAGGCATCTTCACTTTGGTCTCAATTGTCCGATGAATATTGTTCTAGATCCAACTGTAAAAAAACAAAGCTTTGTTGCCATGATCTTTGGAGAGACAAGAGTCTTTCTTTTTAGCAATTCTTCTCAAAGAAACCACACTTGTCTGATGCGGCTTTATTCATATTGTCAATAACTTCAGCCTTCATCATGCAAACTGAAGTCTGTAGAGTTTCTGATGTGTCTTTAGTTTTTTTTATCATTGAACTGCCTGAACTGCAGTTGAACCTGCTGGGATGTCTTTCCTCCTTAGAACTGTGTAAACCCACACCTGGATTTCTCTAACTAGCAATCTGAAAAAATCTTTATTTTTATAGAGGTGCTCGAACTTGCAGATGATAAATTAATTAATTAACTGCATTTGATTAACGTCACCCGGCTGCTATTTATCTTTTCCATTTGACACGGTGAGGGTTTTCAATATTTATTCTGGCTCGTTTTAAATCCAGCGAATAAGGACATGATGTAATCTGTCAGCTTCGTCTGAAAATGACCCGTTAAGATCCTTCTTTTCCCCCACATCCTAAAACAAACAATCGCAGAACAGAGAGAGATTGAATTTCAAACATTTTTTGGCTGTCATACGTGCCTGTTGCACACTGGCCTGAAGGAGATCTCCCAGCCTTTCCACCAGCTCCGTGAAGGTGGGACGCTGCTGCGGCTCGCCCTGCCAGCAGTCCAGCATGGTTTGATATCTGTGAGGAAACAATGACGCATTGAGCACACATCGCAAGACGGACGCGAGCCTCGAGTCTATTACATTAACCTTCTCAATGCCAAGAGCAGTGTGGGCTGATGCATCATGAAATACAACACCACCAGGAAGAGAAATGACAGCCTCAATATTGGTGGTCTTTTCGCCTTCAATAAATATACCTTTTCTGCTCCAGAAACCGCAACCACATCTGCTCCACCTAAATCAGCTGTCATAGACCATTCAGACGTACCGTGTTCGCTATTTTTTTTTTTGTGTGCCTATGCTGAGCCTCTGGGACTGTGTCTAACTCTCAATACCAGTGAAGACTCGCAGCCCCGATCAGCGCTCTGACAGGCTGTCAACGGCTTTGCTCATGAGGCAGGCCTCAGAGCCTTAGTGGAAGTTCCTGTTACAGTGACCACCCTCATATTCGTGGTGAATTAGAAACAGGGTGCCTCGGCTCCTGTTTCAGTTCGGTTCACATGAAGCCAAAGAATGTGATCCATCTTTGATGCGCACTCATTACGGGCATTATGATCCTTTTGTTTCATCAGGACAGAAGGATTGGTCTCTAGCAGCTGTACCGAGCCCGCCACGTCAACATCTGCTCAGCGTTGTCTGGACCTACTTAAAAACGTTGAGCAGCTGCAACTCTCACCTTAATGAATGCAGAGCATGTTCAACCAGGTGGTAGCTCTCTCCCAACAGTGACAGGATGTGGAGACTGTGATCACAGCTCATATGCATATCAGGGAGCAGGAAGTGCACGCACTGTATGAATGCACAATTTAAACCCAGTTTCCTGCCTTCTGCCTGTTCTTCTTGAGAATGAATATCACAGCCCCACATGTTTTTGATTCTTAATGAGTGTGGTGTTTTTTAAGGGGAAAAACACCACGCGGGAGAACGTAGCCAATTTGTCCGGATGGGTAAGTGTGTTCGGATGGGAAATGAGCATCCTTTATATTGTGCTCCCACTCTCCGCTTTGCATCCGGTACATTCCTCTACGATGCATCATAACCGGGGATCTCACTAGCAGGCAGAAGACAACATTCCTGATGAATCAGGGCTGCAGAGGCACAGACGAAATGACACTGCCTGTAACCACATGTGTTTTTCATCATTCTCATTCATCATTTACTCCGCATTTGGGAGAGGGGTCACGGTGTCAAGATGAGGGCTCAGACGCACCTGCGATCAACTCCACTGCTCTCAAGGGAATCAAGAGAATTCACCCCACTGAGTGCGAGTGCCTGCCATCAAACTGATATTGGAAGGTTTTATCTTAGCTTTAAATTAGAGGCAGCCCTCACAGCCGTAAGAATGCAAAGCATTCCTTTTGCAGGTCTATTTTCCTCAATGAACAGCCTGAACTGGGATACAAAGCACAAGAGATTCTTGGCTCCGAGCGCAACCAACAATCTGGTTTAGATTTTGCGCTTCACTTTCAATTACTGTGTCCTCCAAGAAGCTGATCAATTCATTCAGTTATTTTTATTCAACAGACTGAAAAGTTCTGTAACTTTTGAAGGAAAGAAAATTGTTTTTGCAGAGGAGCAGCATTATGCTTTCAAAATGAATAAGATGAAACAATGTGAGCCATTTTACATGAAAGCCACATACCAAATGCGCACACATGTAATACCAGGATTTAGGCTGACTGCTGGATCTGTGCTTATTGCAAAACTAAATCTGACTAACAGCACAGACTCCATAAGAGAGGACTATCTGTTCTCCCATAGATATTTCTATTCAGCAGAGTTCTCCACCCGCTTAAAAATCCTCAACATGTGGGAACATTGGCTGCAGAAGTCACATTTGGTTGTTCTAGGTCTCAGCTACATTTTCTATACCGTCAGTCAGGAGGTGCTTTAAAGCTTAAAGCTCAAAGCTGCAGGGCTAATCAGATGCTAGTATTCCCTCCTTTAAAATTGAGAGAAGGGTTATTCATGATTCTTATCAGACAGCTCTAGCCTGCTGATGCAGCTTTAAGGCGGGAGGAGGAAACTTCATCCCTTTTAGTTCTACAGATGTGAAAGCTTTTGCGTGTTGTCTTTGTTTTGCGTGGATTCCAAAAACTTCAATGGGAAAGTGTTAAATCCTGAATTTTTCGAAAATCAGATTAATTGAATAGAACAGATAATAAATGTATAAAGTCAAGTTATTGCTCACGGTCGTTTTTAAAGCGTTTTGTAGGAGTGTTGCATGGTTTAATCTGTCTCTTATGTTCACTGAAGCATAGCTGGTTGGGATTCTCACATTTCAGTGGGAGCGTAATCGGGTGCTCTCATCCTGGTCCCCTCCTTTAGTCTGCAGCAAAATTCCTCATCAATCTGGACGCCAGGATAAGGAGAAGCACCTAAGGGAGGAAAGAGTGGAAGAGCTATGTAACATCTCACATAAAGTATTTGTGTTGCCTTAGAAGGTCAGGGTCAATCTGTAGGACTATTTGAATGGTAAAGGTAGTAAATTATGTAGTTTAGATATTTATGTAATATAAGGTCAACATAATTAAGGTTGTTTTAAAGAACACTGAGTTTATAGTTAAAAACTCTTTTAAAAAAAAGACTAAATTTAAATTTGCTGAAGAATATAATATTATTCTAGCAATGTCAGTGATACAAGAAAAAAGGATATCCTCATCATCCAGCTATCACTCACCACACAAAAGAAGGTGCTCAGTTGATCATATTTGTTTTATAACCACAATGTGGGAAATATATCTGTTTGTAGAGCTGAAGTCGTTCGTACTCAGTTCACTGTGAAAACACGAGTATCCACTACAGTTTTGTTGATTTTGGTACAGATCACTCAATCCAACATTTTTTGACACATCAAATGATAGTTTTATTTTTCAATTCCCCATGAACAACATAATCAATCATCTCTGTAGCTATCCAAATTTATGGAAAATCTAGCCTGAATCAGGGATCTCTGTAGAATTTCCACATTTCCAGAAGCCATTGTTCCCATGGATTCCTTTTCTATTTGGGCTTCCATGACTTTCTTTATACTCTTTAGATTACATCATATATTAAATATAAATGAAACAATGCTAACATGGATACTATTTTGGTGTCTGTTAATACAAATAGTATTATACAAACAGTAGACTGTTGACAGTACATTTTAATATACTAACATTATACATGTGAAAAACAGGAGTTACCAGTAGGTTGCCAGTCTCTTTAGTTTGCCTCAGAGCTCACGTGTTAGCAGTTATTTTGCACAAATTAACTCCTCATTCACAGCAGCAGACCACCGGCAAATCCTGTGGCTTTGAAGTGAAATTATTTTTATTTTCTCAGTGGATTTGAGAAAGTGAAGATGGGCGTGGTTAAAGCTCCTATTAACAATGAGCTACATGACAGCATACTAAAACAATTGAAAAATATGCTAAATACAAACTGAATAAAGTCTGTTCCCAGCATAATGTTGCTTTACATCCCAGCAGTTGTATTCTCTAAAATGGAGGCATGCCGACTGTGATCTCTTGACATTATATAAAAAACCTCTCTCAAAGATGGAGAACTATGGCCTTAACGTTAAAAGTATAAGATGTAAGGTTCACATCTTATTGTACAATATTGTTGGAGATGCACTTATGTTTTACTAAAAAGCGTGCAGGCCTGGAGCATTTTTTGGCGTCGGCCTCACACTAACCGGCTGGATATCTGAACTATCACAACACACCTGACACACTTGTGCGATCTGAAAAACACCAAAGTTCGACCCTCAAACATGATCTAGAAACAAAGTCTCCTCTTTGCCTTTTTTTCTCCTCTTGCTTTTTATCTCCTGATTTATTTTTCTGAGGCCCAGCTAACACTGCCCAGATGTGGAAGTGTTTCTTTAGCAGAAAATGCAAAAAGAAAGACAGAACTACGTGTCATATTGACGTCAACGTGCTTTCTGCTGAGAACAATATGCAATTTGACACACTTTTAACTGCAGTGTGTGACAAAACCAAAGGCCCCTGTTTCGAAAGCTGCACAGTCAAAATGACGGTACAGCAACACATCCAACTTTGATCAGTGCCTCAAACACTTAAGTTTCCATGGTGGCCTTTTAACATACAGTATTTCAAGTTGAGTCTTGCTATTGTAACGGGTTGTGAGCTCTGTGCTGCGGTGCACAGGCAATCACGCACCGGCGCACAATGCCGCCTTAAAGGCTGCAGTGTGTTCACAGTGGGGGTGCACTTTTACACCGATCTGGCTGCTTGGTAACTGTGCGTTTATGTTGCCAGCTGGGATGAAATGGAGAGCTTAAATAGGAGGTGGATTTAATGTCCCATGCCTGTCCTGATACTCACAGAGTAAGACAAGCGCTAATGTTTTCTGCACGAGTAGCAGAGAAATAGTTCTCTCAGACTGACAATGCAAGTCCTGGCTCTTTGTCCCAAAGGCATAATTACACAGTGGAAGAAGACAGTTATTACCCAGTACATCTGGTGAGGCTGAGTGGCTGAGGGCTCCGAAAGAATCCCCCAAGCTCTCCTCACGCTGAACATACAGTCCATGATTAAAGAAGCTAGAGTTAATCTGAGGTGCCAGGATTAATATACACATGAGGATGCTAAGAATAAACTCAGAAAAACTCAAATGTTTTCATCTCATAACGGGTTTAACTGTTTCCTGTAATTACAAAGAGTGTAAACTCCTCAATAAAGCAGAGGATTTTATGTCTTCAGGTTGGTGTAAACGTCAGCTTGACATCTGCTCTACAGAGTAGGTTTTGAATGCAATGCTGCTGTCGCTGAGCTACTGATAATCAGCATTTCTGACTTCAGCACAAACAGGTTGGATGCAGATGCTCTCTGCCTCCGTGGCTCTGCAAGATTGTGATGGAACCCTTCAAATTGCTGATTGCAAAGGCAAACTAGAGACAGACAGACTGACTTCATTTCACTCTTGTATTTAGTTCATCATAGATATTTGGCATCTTTTGTTTTTAATTGATCTGACTATTGTTTTTCCACAAGTAGCATTTCAATGCTTTCATAAGTAATTACAACAGAAGTGAAAATATGCTCCAAAATCCAAGAAAAATTGTGAGTTTTGGCAAATATAGAAAATGTAATTACACTATATCAGAACAACATGCTATCAAAACGTTTAGGCACTTTTGTTATGGAACTTCTGCTTGATCTTTTTTTCCTAAAGTCAAACCTGAAGAAGAATTTAAGAAGAAAAAGCTTCTGGGACATCCAATGGAAAAACAGCAGTAAAAGTAGAAGGCCAGAAAAGCAATATAATAATATAGTGAACAGGGAAATGGGCCTTTTACCACTGAAGCTAAAGGTACAGTATAGACTAGATAGTGAATCCAGAGGTCACACAGATCCATTAAACTCACCTAGAGAGAAGATCTCCCATATCAGAACACCAAAGGACCACACGTCACTCTGAGTTGTGTAGATCTTGTCAAATATGGCCTCGGGTGCCATCCACTTGAGAGGCAGTCGAGCCTGTGTGGAGGTAATTAGATGTTAATTTCACCTAAGGACTTCTCGGTTCAAAATCTAACTGTTTGATTCAACGAAGCAGGTATCAGTATTCATATTAATATTCAATAAACACACAATCTAATAAAAACTGTTTTAAAAAAAACAACATTTTCTGCCAAGTTAGTAGTTATTGTTGTGCCTGCTGTCTTTTTTTGGAAAACCTTTGAGCCTTTTCTCTGTGGGGCAGTAAATACAAAACAGCTGTGTGAATAATCTTAGAAATATGAACCAAACTTGGCTTTTAACAAACTTACATCTCCTTTGCGCACATAATCGGGATCTTTGTAGATGTCTCTTGCGAGTCCAAAATCACAAATCTTAACAACGTTGTTCTCAGATAGCAGGATGTTCCGTGCAGCCAAATCACGATGAATGCACTTTCAAAAAGAAGAGAGGAAAATACAAAGTCATGATTAAAAGATATAAAACTTCAGAACTTCAGTACCGATGTGTTTATATGACTTCAATGGGGCACACAGGCTACGTGCAACAAAAACACATGGTGAAGTCATCAGAGATTTTACAACAGGAAATGTCTATTTCTTCATATCCAGTCTAAAAAAAATCCTCCTGTAGGTTACTGTTGCAACAATAGCTTTATTCTCTAATCAGACTCATCCGGTCTCCCCAAAACTCTCAATGACTTGAAAAGCCAAGGAGTTTTGCGCTGACATCCTATACAAATCACAAGGGTGAGATTAAGCAACAAACAAAAATAGAGTGATCCAAATCAGAAGCGGTGCAGTTTGTTTTAAAATGTTTGATGAAAAGTGTATCTAACCCGTGGACTGCTCCATGTTCAATGCTGACTTTGAATTACTATTAAATAGGGATGGGCATAGTGATATTTAAAAACAATTGATGAAATCTCAATGAAAAATAAACTTAAAAATGGTCCACAATACAAAATAAAATGTATGGAAAGGTGTCTTTAAGTGTGAGGGTACCTTGCGTGAAGCCAAGAACTCCATGCCTTTTGCAACTTGGAAACTGTAGCAAATTAAATCTTCCAGCGTCAGAACCCTCTTGTATAGATCTTCAGATTCTGTCAAACAAAAACACATAAAGTTTTCTGGTGAGAGTGATTATTCATAAATTGCAGACAGCAGTTCTTCTCAAGGCATGTTTTAAACACACTAGTGGGGTCAGCTTCCTACACCTGTCAGATAAATCAGAGAAGATGAAACACAAGCGATTCTCTTGGGGGAAACTGCGAAATGTAAAGACCCGGACATCAGCTAGTCATATTTACAAGCCGTCTTGTCTCAAACTTGTCCTCCCACACAATCTGTCTTTAAAATATCCGTTTCAAATGAAGAATGAAAACAAATACTCCTTTTTTCAGATGTCAGGTGAAGCGAGTGGCGATGGGCGCAGAGCGCTGAGGAACTCACAAGGAGCCCTTCCCTTGCCCCACCTGAGTAAACAGCTAATCAAACCAGAAATAACACATCAGAAACAACTTGGCTGACGTGCTGAGCTTGAGGCCAGAGAGCAGAGCCCAGCTCGGGCCCGGACAGGAAGTAAACAGACGCCTCCCCAGACTCAGCGGGGTGACAGTGGCTCCTGCTGTAGTGATTGTGCTGCTGAACGGGAGGCGGAAACGTCCCATCAGACCTGGAAACAATCTGTTGGGAGCTTTCGGTCCCGAGCAGGAGGGACAAACAGTAAGGGGGTAAGAGTGCGGGGGTTGAAGGGGAAACGAGACATGCTTGGCCCTTTACCTTCTTCCTCTTCCTCTGAGTCGCTGTAGCTCTTATCTTCAACAAAACCAGAACTGGCTGAGCTTCCGGTGCTGGCCACGCTCTCCAAGCGGCGCTTCATCAGCTCGCTCAGCTCGCAGCCTGACCCCGTCGACACCACCTTACCGTCCTGGCTCTGACCGGTGACAAACACACACACGCATATTGATAAATGCGAAGAGGTTCAACAATCCCGCTGACCGGCAGAACAACGGCATGTCAAAACACTGATAAAGCAAGCGAGCAGGAAGCTGTAAATCGTGCAGCTCACCTTGTACACCAGAAAATCATCTCTCTTGCTTCTCAAGTAGTTGGACAAGTTGCCATATTTGCAGAATTCCACAATCATCATCAATGGTCCTGTTAGGATGACAAACTACATGTGAACATTTGCCAGAGGAGATGACAGCTCTGGTGGTTTAAGCAGGCTGACTCCCACCTAAGTAATCGCTCCTTGTCATTTTAGGGCCAAGTAGAAGTGTGTACCAGTGCATCTGGTACTGGTATCAAGCAGCAACAATGTGCTAGACATGCATTTCTGAACCACAGCGGACACTTAACACTGAATTTAACTGTAGTTTATTGTACATATGCAACGATTAATCGTGAATTCGTAGCATTTTATTACAATGCAATCTCAAAACTCACCTCCAGGTTTGGTGCACGCTCCCAGCAGGTTAACAACATTCAGATGATGGCCGATATGGATCAGGATTTTCAGCTCTGACATCAGAGCTTTACGCTCATTTGATGTCGCACCTCCTGTAGCAAAGAATTTAATGAGGTATCAAGTCAGTCACTTGTTTTGTCTTTTGCCACAGAACAAAGTGAGCAGTGAGCAGCAAACCTAGCTAAAAGTCTCATCAAAATCTCACTATTCACAACTGTTTGCTTTTCTAAAAACATACAGATAAAACCTAATACAATCTGTCATTCACCCAGTGCTGAATAAAACAGCCAATAAAAAGAAAATCTGTCCAACTCCCTTTTTTTTCTTTGCCAGAATTTCTTATTCACTGAAGACTTTTAAAAAGATGGTGGAACAACACAGTAAATCATACAACATTCCGAAAAAAAGAAAATGTTTTCCAACTGATTTAGTCACAAAAATATATATTTTTTCTCCAACTCTCTAACTCTATCACTTGCAGTGACATTTTGACCCGAGCTTGTGAATAGGACCTGAGAGGGAGACCTCTTTGCTTTGAACTAAAAGGCTACACAATTATTAAACGCACATGTGGTACTGTAACTTATGATCCTGTAACGTGCACAAGTAATAAATCTGCTGAAGACACACATATATGAGTCAACAGCAACACACATAACAACAGTGCATGACAACATCATACCTTTCAACATTTTGACTGCAACAGTCTTGCAGGTCGAGACCTTGTCGATCCCAAAGGCCGAGGCCTCAACCACTTTTCCAAAGGCTCCATGGCCGAGGGTCTTACCTGGCAAAGGCAGAAGAGATTCGATGAGTGGATTACATCAGCTCAACACCTTGCCAGAGGCCTGATGACCAGGCAGTGCATCAAAAGAATTTATGGTTCTCCAAAGCCTGGGTGACAGCGCTGCTCAGCAATAAGTGATGAGCCTTTGCTGCAGCTGCAGAGAGCAGTGACACCTCTCCCATGCATCTTAATGTCACAGGGACTAGTCTCCCAAACGAACAACTTGTTAAGTGAACATTTAACCTTTTATGGCTCTGTGTCGTGCACTTTAGGGGTCATGTTTTAGTGTTTGATCTTTGCTCCAGACTGACCGGTTGTAAAAAGCATGCCCCCTTTTATCCCAAAAGATCAAGCTCATCAAACAGGTGCCCGTGATTTAAACGTATGAAGGTTTCTTCGTGTTTGGAGCCTCTTATTTAATCGATGGGACTGCATGGCGCTCACCTAGTTGCAGGCGGTCACGTGGAAACTCCCATTTGCTGCTGTCATACTGAAGAAGGTCATTCTGCTCCTCGAGGGGATACTCATCAGGATCAATGATGATAGAGGGACCCAGCTTGTAGTGTGATGGTTGCTGAAGAATGAAGACAACAAAAGCAACATGAATTTTAGGATTATCTTCAGGTTTTTGGGAAACGCCCACAAAGTTTTTGTTCGCTTAGCTTTTTATTGCGCTGAGATTGATACTTTCCAGTAAAACGAATGAAGGTAAAGTTCTCTATCGATGACATATCACACATACAAACCAAAGCTAAAAAAACTCATGAATTCCTGCTCAATTGAAACTTGTGTTAAAAAAGCTTTAACAAGAAGAACGGGTCAGTCTTCCAGGAACTGAAATGCCAGGTATGAGAAGAGGAACTACTAAATTTAACCAGCAAATCATAAGCGAATCTTAAAATTCACAAGAAGTCACACATGTCTTGCCTTCCGCAGCTTGCGAATGAAGAGGATGACCATAAGCCAGAGGAAAGTTGCAGCAGCTCCAGTGCACACCGAAATGATGACCTCAACGTTTGGTTTCCCTTCATCTCCTGGAAAGAGAGGAGTAGTTGTCAGCTTCCTGACTGCTCTGGCAGAATATCTACACTATGTGCTCAGCTCTGAGCTGCCATGCTTTACCGTCGGGTTATGATGGAGAACTGTGATCAAAAGAAAACACTCCACAACATTTACAAACAAGGCTCACAGTTTTCATCATTCTTTCCCAGTACTGTTTGTTTCTTAATTAAGTCTGTATATAAAAAGGAAGTGGAAACACACGTCAAAGTTTATACTTGCTTTGTTTAGGATATGTGCACCGCGCTTTTTCCAGTAGTGTTTTCACCCAAATATTGTCACAGTCACCATTCATACCAACACTCATAAACTCATAAGTCCTAAATATGCACAACATTTTTTCCTGTCTCTTATTCCAAGCAGTTCCTGATTAGATAGACTCAGCAGAACATACACAGCTTGTTGCCTTCCTTCTTAATGTTGAGAAAGGAACATCTAAATAATGTCTTGCTCTTTTAATTCTTAGTGTAAATGTAGACAGCCACATTTAAATCAAATCAAATACACAATTATAAACCTGCCCTCTGGTTCAGCTATCTACTGTGAGTGTTTCCTGTCTCTTTTTGGCTGCATCAGTCCATCTCTTAGGACTCATTAGTAAACCTCTTGACCCTCAACGCAGGTTATGTCCTATAGATGCAGTTCCCCCAGCAAACGCTATTCCACATGCCTTTGTGGCAGATTTACTTTTTACATTTTCGCTCACAAGACCTAAGATGTGTGCATTAATAACAAAACAACCTGGACATGCAGAGAAACGCCCTGACCTGACTGATTACCAGCCTTTTTGGTTTGATCTGCCGTTGAACACCTTCCACTCAGATCCCAAAATTGTAAATGCAGTATGCTGGAGAGTGGAATCTTTTTTTTTATGAGATAAACCAATACCCTGCATCATCCGACTCACCAAGCACAGTGACCACGGCGCTCGTTTTCGCGAAACCCTCAACATTTTGGGCCACACACTCGTACAGACCCTCGTCATCTTTCTTCACCCGTTCGATGATCAGAGTTCCATCCTCTCCCAGATTGACGCCTGAAACACACAAACTCTCAGTTTATCTTGATTTAGCAATGACTTTAAGTTTAGAAAAGAGCGGCTTAATCTACATTAATCTACTGTGTGGAAGATTTTCTCCTTTGACGCTATTCTCCCATACCGTCAAATGTACCACATTGTAACATTGATAAGGCAAATAATTACTTGTTATTTTTCAGGCCAGTCTGTTCAAAACCCTCTTGTATTCTATGGTCCTTCTCTGCTTCACCTCTTCATGATACCCGAAAAGTCTGACCAGAAATACCTACTCCTAATTAGCCTACTCCTAACTCTACTCAGAATCAGCCCGGATGTAATGTGGGGTCAATTACTGCACTTGGGCTTTCCGCCGGAGTCTGATCGTCAAACATTTTACAAACTTTGTCCATCAATAACTAATGCTTTTAATACCACTGGCTGTCAAAATGATATATTTGAATAAATAAATAGACACCTTAATGATTTCATATTAAGTTCAGTATTATTCACAAGGTTACCTGGACTCTCTTCCACTTCTACGCCATTTTTGTACCAAATGATGTGGGGACGAGGAACCCCAGAAGCGTAGCAGGCCATGACCAGGGTGCTGCTACTGTTCACATCCTGATTCGTCAGATTTTGGCTGAGCCACGGCCTCTTTCTCTCTAAAAAAAACAAAACACTGTGTCAGAGTTACACTTTTAAGACAGTGACTGACTGAATGTTGCAAGATTGATTTATTTGTTCCTTTTTGTGGTGCCTGGTACGGCATGTCCCACAAAACCACTTCAAAAACAGATAGAAGTTGTAGAAATTGTGCAAAAGCCAGAGATGATTACTTTCAATAAAATCTAACTCACCATTCACAATTAAAGACGCCATCTTCAATTCAGCCCTTTTGTGAAGCTTGTATGCTTGGCACTTGTAGCCTTTGGTGCCACTTTGGGACACATTGTACAAGTACAGAGAAATAGAAATGGAGTAATTGTGGACCCCAAGCTCCGACACATTGGAAGTGATGGTTTCGTTCTTGGAGTCCAACCACTGAAGGCCGGTGTAGAGGTAACGGGTTGCCCGACAGGTCAGGGTGACGTCGTCCCCCTCGATGGCTGTTTGAGGTTCGATGCTGACTTCCTTGGGGTGATCTAAAGTGTAAAAGTCAAAGAATGTGGTGCGTTAGGACTTCAGTTCATCCTCAGTACTGAGCATGGCATGTGTTTCACACGTGTGCCGGTAATCCGCTGGCCAGAGAAACTAATTTGTTTGATCGTTTTTCGCCACATAAACTTCACGTCAGAAGTGCAGGAATGTCAACGCTGAAGTTATTTCCTGTTTCATCACTATTAATTTGAAGCACGTTGGTGGACAGCACTACTGATAGCGCTTCTACACTCATCCAACTGGAGCGAGGCTGAGTATGTGACCCAGGGGAAGCAGACTGTGCTTGTTTATTCAGTTTGCTGGAAAGCATTCTCTGTTCCGTAAGAGAGGACAGCTGTTATTACAATTGTCCCTTTTTTTCCTTTTTGCAGCATTCCACCACTCTCCATCTTCCTCACCTCTGGACGAAAGCCAGATTCCTCTTGGGAATTCTCTCACTCAAAGTTTCTCCATACTTGGCACCTAACTCTTTTAGAGATTCCTCTATACCCCCTGTGTCTGCAAAAGCAATCCTTCACCCTTCAGGAGAAGAGATTCTCACAACTTTTAGGGAGATGTGATGCACTTCCTTTTGCAAAGTAAACTATACTTACGTGTGGGGATACCTCATCCCTGCTGTCATTACATAACTGTCCAAAGTACAGTCACTTTGGGAACATTTGGAAAGTCTCAAATGCACATAAAAAGTCAATTCTCATTGCACACACGGACTCAGAGAGAAAGAGGAATGACCTGCTGGCACCAGAGCAGGAATGTAGTTATTCATGGATGTTTTTAAACGTGTGCCATTACTGCTCTCCATATGGCCCAGGATACATTTGACTCTCTTCCGCCCTAAAGCCATGCAGCTACAGTGGAAGATGTTTTCAATTAATGCCCCCCTCTGGTCTTTTTATTGCACAACACAATCTGCACATTCCTTCCCTGCTCTTGCACTTCATTGCGGCATGCGTCGTAGATCATTGGAAACAAGTTGGGTGAGCCTTGCAATTACAAATGAAATTATTTTTGCATGCACCTCCAGACTAAGATATCAGCACTTATATTTCATCTTTCTTGAGGTCTGAAGCTCCACCTACCATCAACGTAGAAAGGAATCTTCATTTCGGCCGTGCCGGCTTCGTTCCACACCTTGCAATGGTAGAATCCAGCAACACGAGCCTCTCCAATCACCAGGGTACTCACAGTCTAGGGGCGTTCGTTTTAATTAGGAACACAAATTACAAAAAGTTTTTCATCAGACCTCATAGTTACATCTGTTAACTTCAGGTTTGAAAAAATGACAGCTGCTGTGTTTTACATCAACCAGTACTTGACAAAGAGACACTTCTGAAGTTTTAAATCCCAGTCAGACCTGTGGAATTGCTCTAGAGGTGGGCTTTAACGCCTTTTTCCTGGAAAGCACTTCTAATGGGATACTGAATGTACAGCAAATATAACATGTCAAATGGCTTTAATCAGCAAAATAAAACATTGGATGAGAGCCAGGCAACATGGGGTTCTGTTCAGCATTCAGAGTGACATCTGGTTTTTGGGGGCAGCTACATCAAAGACAGTGAATGATGTGGGTGTATTGTCTGGCCAATACTGGCCAGAACTTCCTGGACCGATAGGAACTATTATGTTGCCTATGAATTATAGCCACGAAAACTTTTCAGAACCTCTGCACTTGTAAGGTTCACCATGCAAACATTCGAGCAGCAAAATAACGATCATTTCTCCGTCCATGCTGACAAGGCATCTGTCAGAACGTGATGGAGGGGTCTTATTGTATAATGTTTCAGCTATTACTCGACACGAGGTAACTTAAGACTGAAAACAGTCTTGAAGGCTTACGCGCACTCCTGAAGCAGTGACCCGACCTGGCGCACTGTGACCTCCATGCCCATGTTGTCCCCCCATGTTTTCCTTATACTGTGACCCGGGCCAAACTGCCTTTCCACTGGGCCTTGTGGAGAGCCGCTCAGAGGCCCAGCTCTGACTATGTTCTTATTCACGGGCCAGCACGATTTATGTGGGGTGACAGAGAGGAATTCGCTTCCATCAAATCCCTCCTCTTTTAAACTGGTGCTTGTTATCATTGACCCTTAGTCCTAACCCTCATAAAACACCAGTGACTGGCCACGAGTACTTGTAAATAGGCAGTGTCTGCCTATTTATGTCAGACACATATTAGAACTGATGCACTGTGAAAAAGACCTAATTCATAATTGCTTGGTGTGCAAATATGCAGATCAGAACAAAAAGCGAGGCCTAATTTGACCCAGCCTGAACTAATGGGTTGCTCACAGACTGACCAATAATAGACTGCAGAAGCCTGCTCTTGTGGGGAAAAAGTGTTGATCTTCAGAGAGAAATATTTTGAGATACTAGACTAACGCATGAGTTTAAATGCACAGTTTGCAGACTTTTTCTGCCTTTTTAAATGTGCAGTTCTGATACTAATATATTCTGATAACATTCACATGGGTAAAAGTCTGGGAGTCTGTGTAAAATGCTAACAATTTTGCAACATAAATGTTTGGTACTAGCAGTTTGAATGAATAACTGATTTCAAATGCCTCTAACATATAAATGAAGTGGGCCGTCTTTTACAGGCAGTCTTTGTATAAAAAGGAATGGAGGTTGGATTTCACTCTAGTAAAATGAAATGAACTATGTCTGTCAGTTACGGTTACCTCAAATACAGTGGAAGAGTCTGTGCTCTCGATAGAAACTCCTTTGTACCTCAAGCAAACCAAGTGGTCTAGTCTCTTGCAGGTAGAACTCAAGTGACAGAAGTAGAATATCAACCTGCAGATTGGTGTACTGAAAGTAGACAGCGCCCCTCTCTCAGAAACATGGGTTTGGGCCCATCACTCGCAGGACTACAAATACATGCTAATATATAAGTTGCTGAATCTGTGTTGTATATCTGTTGATGCAGTGTTTAAAATGCATTATGTTGCTCACCTTGTTTTTTCCTTGAACCAGTTCAACCTTGACATTTATGCTCTTAATCCAGTTGTGTGAATTATTTTGCCTTCCATCAGGGTAGACGTGTATTGGCTTGGTGTCAGTAGAGCAACTACACACACAGAAAAATAAAAACAAAAATGACCATACTGGACACTGAAATATGCACCAAAGATACATAAGCAAATAGCTTTAATTGGACATTTCTATAAATCTGGATACATCACTATATCCTAACATGAAAAAAGCTCAGTGTAAAGGCCATATTGCTAAACTTGAGATTAATCTGCATAAAACCCATACTGGTCTGGATTTGATCTGAGAATGCTTTGATTTTAAGCCCCCTCCCCCAAACCCTATGCTGCCTGTGGTGGTGAACAATCACCCTGATGAGTGGAGAGGCAGTGGAGGAAACCACAGCAGCGACAGGAAGGGCTGTGCTGTGCATGACCCCCCCCCCCACTTCAACCTCATGTTCTGGCCAGAGGAGATAAGGTTGATTGTAAGACCTTCATGGTCAGCGAGGGACAGCTGATAACTTCTCAACCTGGTGATAAAGACATCCCCGTACTTCTGCACCCCACACTATCAGCCCCATTCCACTTACAAGATGATAAACTACCCTCACCCTTAAACCCTCAGCAGACCCTGCATTTCCCCTCCTGTCCAAACTCCAAAAGATTAAAATGAGATATGATCTTGAAGGGCTACATTTTGGATTTACAGTGACATGTGCTTTGCAGGGTCAGAGTAGTATAAAACAAACATTTTACACAATTGGTCTCCCACCAGGCTGTGGGTGTTCCTCTCTCTCATTAACTGCCTGCCACAGCACAGCCACTGTTCCTGGTGCCAGCATTCATTATCTTTGGGCCAGTAGAAATACTTGCTATAATTTATCATAGATCTGCAAAGCACAGACTGTTCTCTGCGATAATATGACAGATAAAGTTATGGAATTAATGGTAGATTAACACCATCTAGCATGTAAAATGGTTTTGTTTCTTTATTTTGTTTTTGGAGTTGGAACTTGATAAGCTAAGAGCATTGGCTCATTGCTTTCTTGATCTAAACACTCACTGATCTGCTGATGCCACTGACAGACCAGCATCTTAGGAAATGCCAAAATGTTCCTTCAGTGCATGGGTTCACTACCAGGCCGGTATTCATGCAGTCACTCAGTTCTGTTAAGTTTTGTAATAGCTCAGGGAATCTGAGATTAATATATCACTCCCTTGCTTCCCATTCAGCCCAAAGAGCTACTGACCGCAAATGAGAGGGCAGTTCTCAAGGGGTGACTCCCTTTGATTTATGTCTCATGTTCTGGGATACACTCAGCTAAGTTGGAGTCGATCAGCTTTAAAGTGGGATCCCTGGGTTAAACTGGTGGTTCAGTTTCCTATAATATAATTCCCTAATTGGTAAAGATCATATCTACGGCTGTGAAATCGATCCAGTCCTGTTGTGAGTAGCTTTACAGTAACATGTCTAACCTGTTGTAGCCTCATAACACCACTTGGTGGAGGCATAAAAAGCTACCAAAAAAATAAAATGATTTGGCTACGGTTATGACTATTTGATGAGGACTCAATAGGAATGGCACAAACAGGCTGACAGTTTGAACTTTGTATACAGCAATCCAAAAATGTATGATACTCCTATCTGTTTTTCTATGGCTGCTCTACGACACAGATGTCTGAAGGAGGGATGGCGGTCTGCTGGTCACCCTCTCTTGATTTTTTTTCCTATATCCCTTACTCTCCAAGAGCTAGAAAACTTTTCCAACTGAAACAAGTGAGGCACTATAGATTGATCACTCCCCTAATTATCTGAAAGGGGTAGACTTGCATGTCAATTGTCTTGTATGTTAAATGTAACATTGGTACTTCATATAAGAAAAGTTATTTCCCTATGTTGGTGTAAAGTTAACCATGTGAGCTTTTTCAACCATTTTAATGCTTAAACCAAAGTTAAAGTTTTGACTCACTTCTTAAGCATTGGGTCTGGTTTACATGGCTGCCAAAACCAAATGATGTTTGGAGAGGGCAGCCCATAGGCGGTGCAAGTAAGCTGGTGCTGTTTGCCGGACATATAGGGCTGTACGCCCATGGTGGGAAGCTCTGCTTCTGAAATAGTTGGCTTCACTACAACAGAGACAAAAAACACAGAGACAAAAAATTAAGGTGAACCAGGTGAACCGCAATGTTGACCCTGCCTGTTAACCCATCTCATAATGTTCTTATAATGAGGGATGACAGTCATGATGGATAGCCATGAAAAATGTGCCACTGACACCAATTGTCCTTTAGACACAGTGCAGGAGAAGAATGGCAGGATGACTGACTAACCCAGACTTGAGGTCAAAGATGGACCCTGCTGTAGCTAATGCTTCAGTCAGTGATTCAGCCACATGTGCTGTAATGAAAAACAGGCTAGTTACCTGCCAACCAAGAAGGTCATCCACAGCACACCATTCTATGCATTTGATCAGCTTAACTAGTTAAAGGCTCCTCCCTCGTACATCTGCCTAACAACCCTTGCTCATTTTGTGCAGCACTGTCTCCTCTGTAAACAATATTGATCAGCAAAGTTTAAAATAGTTCTCTAATTGGTACCAGGAATCTCACTCCACCTTGTTTATTTGTGACCGACTGTTTTATATTTTGACATTCTGCTAAATAAAAGTTGTGTGAAGTGAGGCGGTCAAGGATCATAAATAAAGTTTATACAAGCCAGAAGAGGTCTGATTTTTCCACTTTTTGGCACGCTATTCTTCAAAAATGTTTAAAGAATGCAGTCTGAGAGGCTGCCCCCCTTCCCACGGCAAGCTGCGTATTTCTGTTCTCTATAGCAAACAGACTCCATTTCACATGGTACAATATTTACAGCTTCAAGTGTTAACAGTTATCAGTACCCCCTATAGCTCCATCATAAAATAAACTGTTCAGTCCTTGTTTTTGTCAAGCTGTATATATATCGTACGGAATAGGTATACATGAAAATACTATACATACATCGAAAGGATGCAAAGAACCAGGGGGGTCTGGAGCAGCTACATTAGAACTCAGGCCATTTACACACTCCGCAAAGCCCCTTCAAAAGAGCCCCAATAATCAACAACAGCTGCCTCTGCTACGTCAATCCAGCCCTGGAATCAACAAGCTCCCAAATTCCTCTCATACTAGAGCTGGTACCTGCCGTCCAGTGAGCTGCACAGAGAACAGCAGTGAGGAGGCAGCCTCAGTGCATGGGAAAATTACCGCTCAATTTCCTCAGGACCAGCTCCTATCACCAGCTTTACGATAATGGCTTACCGTTGACCACCAGAGTGTAGCTCATGTTCCTGTACAGGCCGGTCATTTTGTTGCCCACATTTATGGTGTAGACACCAGCATGCTTCAGCTGCAAGTCAGTGATGATCAAGGTATACCCCGACATGTTGTAGCATGTAGCATTGTTCCTGATGAGGACTCCATCCTTATACCTGTGAAATGTTTACTCATCAAACCACAGCTTTTTCTCATTTTTGCTCACTTTAGTCAACTGTGAGTGGCCACACAATCACATGAGCAATAGAATAAGAGTACACGAAAAAAAAAGAAAAATATAAAATATAGGGGCTGCTTAGTAGATTAAATTAAATTAATTAATCTCAATTAATGCAAAGTCCCTCAGAGAGGAAATAAGATGCAAAGCATTGTTTTGCAACACCAATGTTCAAAGCACTTCATGATCCCTACATAGGATGTATCTATCCTTTTCTGTTAACATTTACACACCATGCCTTCTCGTCGGGTGTGGGCAGAGCCACGACCTTAGAGTCAAACAGAAGCTCCTTTTCGCCTTCATTGACAATGACTTTACTTCGACCATTCTGTTTGTACTGGAGGTTGAGGAAAGGATGCTCTGCAACAGAAGAATGGGGGGAAAAAAGGAAAGACTGGAGTTAAACACAAATCACTGCAGTATTACTTCCACAATAAACCACTGGATGCATACTCACCGTAAACAATGACTTTTGCTGTAGCACTCTTGTGTTTTGTAGGTTCAAGCTCAGCTACGCATCGATACACCCCCTTGTCCTCCATAGTTACATTTGGCAACACCAAAGAGTTGCTCATCACCAGATCCCTAGCAGGTTTTAGTTTTGTCTTCTCCACATGGTGTCTGTTTTCCTAAAGTCAACAACCATAACATAAACACCATGGCCACATTCCCCAATCGGCCCCGTTAGATGGTCAACACTCTGAACTTACATTCCTCTTTGGAAAATACCAGGTGAAGTTGATCCTTCCATTATAGGTGGTCACACCACTACAGTTGAGGACGAGGGTGTCTCCGACCAAAATTTTAACTCGATCTGGGGTGATCATCACGTTTTCAAGACGAAGGGCTGCAAAACGAAGGCAAAATAAACACAATCACCAAGATCATTTTTTTGGGGGTAAATCTAAAAAGAAAACAAGGACTCACTTTGTCTCTGAGGGATGTAAATCGACTGGAACCGGCGTCCATTAACCACAGTTGAGCAGGTGAACATTGAGTACATCGTGAAAGGACCATAGGGAATCCTGAAGCCCACCTTTGGATCCCACACCATCTCTTTACTGATCTTCTCTGATAATTGTTTGTTCTGCAATGATAGAGGCAAAGCCCGTGACTTTAACAACTCCTGTGATGTCCATTAAAGACTGAAGAGGAAGGCACTCAGCCTGATTTAATGTGTAACTGCTTTACTGGGCTCACCTGGGGACAGACATCTGTTAAAAGTGGATGTCTAATTAGCTTTTATTGTTTCACAGAATGCGTCTCCCGCAATTGCTTATGCAATGGAGAACACAACTTTGTGAACTCAGAGAAGGATGTACGTGATAGCTGATGTTTGTTCCCATGTCAGGTTTGAAGAAGAGGCGAGGTGAAGAGAGGAAGGAAGGAGAGCAGGAAGGAGGATTGGCATAGAGCTACAATCTCTGCAGTCAGTGTGTGGTGTTTGCTCAGTGTGGACACACAATAAAAGATATTCAAATATAGATGTAGAGACATCCAAATGTACAGAGAACAGACAGAAGTTCTTTGTGGTTAATATGGGAAGCTTTTCCAGAATCACCTGGTAGATTGTCCACACTAAACCTATTGTTTCCTGTGAATGGACACAGAGTTTGATGTTTTTCTTTGCATTTCCTGATGTTTGTACGAGAAACAGGACTAAATTTAGTCTGAGAGTCTATTCTGAGAGAGCCACTCCTGGAGCACCTTCCTGCTCTTACAGGAAGCAGACACCGTGACTCCCTGAGCTTCCCTCTGGGAAGCTACTGTCCTCCACAGCGCTGGAGTGCTGTGACACACAACGGGTATGAGAACCAGTGAGATGCCCTACCCCCAAAGAGGAAACACTGTTTCTTTCTTCTGAAGATGTCAAATAAGGATGCACTGCTGTGATATAAGTAACCTTGTTGACCAAAATGACACGCTGCTCTAAGTCCAGGGAGGGGTCTATGCCAATTTGTGTATAACTGAGGACTGTAGAATGAAACTGTTTACCCCATGTGTGGAGGCCAAGTGCAGAAAGTGTGAAATGACTGTCTCTGTGAGGTCTTACCGCTGTAAGGTTTACAACTGCATGAGGCAATGATGTCCGGCAGGGAATCACAAGGCTGGTCTCATGCCTGTAGATGCTCACAACATAAGGTGCTGGATAATGAGGCTCTGCAAATGGTTGATCTTGATCTGAGGGATGATAAAAGTATCCTAAATAAGTGAAATCTCAAACACATGTCAGAGAAATCTAGTTGTAAGACTGACCAACCAAGATGTTCACAAAATTAGAAATTCATGACCGCTTTTTTCTTAACTGGATCCCAACTTAAAAAAGATCTGTTCATTCTCACCAGATAAGGCAGAATGATCAGACAGAGCAATCATGCTCTCCCCTGCTGAGAAGCAAGGCATCAAAAGGAACTGTGGGAATTTGAATGCCTACACAAACAGTCTGCAATCGGTGTGAGGTCAAGCATTAGTGGTGTGATGAAGGGACTATTATCTGAAAAGCGAGTGTGGATCATAATCTAATAAACAGCCGAGGGCTTTTGAAAAGAGTGTGCTAGACTAAACACAGGCACAGAGGGCCAAGCGTACTGAAAAGCACATTCCCAGAGCAACGGGAGAGGAAATGAAGAGTATCCAGCTTAATGTGATAGCTGTTTGCTGGACTAATATCCAAGAACTTTTATTTACATGAACTCTGTCTTAAAACAAATCGTTTAAATGTGCTTACGTTTAAAATTTGACTTTGGCCTGCTTATAAGCTCAGCACCGGTTCCATTTGAATGAGAGTGTAACTGTAACTGGTGCAATGTGAGGCTTTAGGGAAGACTGAGGAAAACAGTAGCTGAGGCAGGAAATCAGTCAACGGCCTGAGTTTCCTGTGCAATCAAGCTCACCCTTTAACCTTAAGAAGAAACCGCAGCACTACAGAAACTACTTCCTTTCTCTGTCTCTGGCTTTGAGATGGAGACTCCTGACCCTTCAGTCTGGATGCCGGATCATTCAGGTTCCTACACGGACATGCTGCGGGCACGCAGAGCATCTGCTAAATCTGTCCCGACATTCCTGCCACCAACTTTTTGCCTGTCCTCAAGCGCTATCTGGTTTTGTTGACTAAAGTTCATTTTCTTTTTTTTTTCTGAAAAAAAACAACAACAGATTGCTAAATGTCCGTTTATGGCTTTTGTTTCACACCAAAAAATAACAAAACGTTCAAATTGCAGTCTGGGTTGCAACGAAACAGGAAAAACGCCAGTGCAGGAGAAGGTTTTCCCGTTCGCTTCCAGTAGGCTACTCCTTCTCGGGATTGTTTTGCGGGTCTCACCTTTGACGAACACATAGGTCGAGGTGGTGTGGTCTGAACTGTCTTTGGAGGATTTGCAGGTATAACGCCCAGTGTCGCTGGCCCTCAGGTGTGCCACAGTCAGCTTACTGCAGTGAGGGTGGCGCCTGGAATGACAGTTCTCCACCTTCACCCGCTCTGAGGGCAGCGGCCGCTGGGCATTGTCAAATGTCCACTGCAAGGCGCCATGACCTCTGACAGCAAACAATGAGGGACAACATTAGTATTATTACAACTTGAAGGGATAATATTTAGTCACTCTCTGTGCATAAACACCGCAGAGCTTGGGTCTATTTTGGGGAAAAGTGTCACAGCTGGCAAGCTGCCTTACAAGATTTTCGGCTCAGGATGACAGCGGCTGCTTGTACCCTTGAGAGTTCTGGGCCTGATGTTCGTTCTTAGTTTATTTGGAGTTAATCTCGAGTTATCCGATACCTTGAACTTTCACATGGGAACATGTTTCTCTTGAAAGATGTGCTCAACTAACACATTCTTTCCACCCAGAATCCATTTTAAAACTCTCATTAAAGAGATCCCAGAGGAACATCTAACATGTCTTGCATACCACTGCCTTTGCATGCAGAATTCTGGGTCAACCAACCTCCAATTCTTAGCCCGTGACAAAAAACAACACAGAGCCGTATGGCCCAAGTGTCTCAGCATTTTGGCCTTTTAGGGAAACATTGTATTAGATTGACGCCATGTTCTGTGCATTCTTTGCAGGGTTGCAAAATGATGCAAGCCCCTAAATTCTTCAAAAATGTGACTTCAGAAGATTTGGGTCCCATCACCCCTAAAGGAAATGTCAAGAGACTGATAAACCCTAACTACCATGGCAGCTTTTGATCAAAGATTGTGCCTGCTTCCCAGTAGTCTGAAAACCTGAGATATCCCTTTTATTTTTTCTATGACCTAAGCCGCACAGACTATCAGAAACTTTAAAAAACCTGTCTAAAACCAGTTTAATTACAACAAAACCGCTTGAAGTTATGGCTGATTTGCAGTAACATAAGCAGTGTGTTAGTTTACATACCTGCATGTAAGACTTAGAAAGTCATCCTTATGAAGAATGAGTGTGTCATTAGAGGGCTGAATCTTAGGCTCTCTCTCTCCTGCTGAGTAACACAGACACGGACATACCACACACACACACACACACACACACACACACACACACACAC